ATGAGGGCAACAAATGTGTAGATGTGCTTTACACAATTGATCTATGTATGTATTGTGATGAATTGTATGAGCCCCAATAAATTGATTTTTAAAAAAATCCTATTTGTAGCTTAGTGAACTTACTGATATGATCTTAAGAGAGATAGAAGGCTTTTTAGGAATTCTGGCAAGGCAATCCATCCAAAGTCACATGAATAAAATGATATTAGTAGTGAAAGTTATAGTTATGAGTTCATAGTGTTTATTATGTGTCAATCTGATTATCAGCACTTGATATGTTTTCTCTGTTAGTTCTCACATAACTTTATCATTCTCATTTTTTCTCTGGAATGTTTTTTTGACTCTAGTCAGAAATGTTGCCCTCATTTGCAAATCATATGTTAAATGAACTTCAGGTAATTTCCTATTGCCTTAATATTGAATTTATTTAAGAAAACTCAACATTGGAAGAATATGTCACCACTGAAGTTCTAAGCATTAGTTTGTTGCAGGGGAAAAAAAACCCCGCTTAGAGCTGAAATGAAGATTCAGAGGGTTTATTTGGCCTTAGGGCAACATCTGGATGGAAGGCCTGCCAGCTCATATAAATGAAAGCATGACGATTTCACTGAAAGAGTCCCAAGCAAGGGTGCATATATAATGAGAAACAAAGAAATTACAATCCAAGAATTGGTTCATCTTTGACTGAGGTCACTAAAACTCAAACTAGAACGTTCCCCCGGCCGTCATGTTGAGCCAGACTCATGGTGACCCTAGAATACAGAGTAGAGATGCCCCTTTGGGACTCCAAATCTGTAAATCTTCATGGGAGCAGAAACCCTCATCTTTCTCCCATGGACTGGCTGGTGCTTTTGAACTGCTGACCTTGCAGTTAGTAGCCCCACACAAAACCCAGTTACCAGAACTCCTTCACTAAAGGGAGGATTCAAGAAATAGGGAAAGGCACTCTTTGGCTACAATCATTAAGATTTATAATCATAGTTAAAGGATGCTTGCAATGTATACTTTTGGAACAGGTTGTAAATATGTCCAGGTTGATTTAAAGTGTTTATTGGGTCAGAGCCAGTGATAAGAATGAACACTAAGCCCATTTTCTTAGAAACTCTTTGCCCGAGTGAGACATTCTTGGTTGCATGGGAAGCTTAGACAATGACTTGGGTGTCCATTTCTCGAGACATTGCTTTTATATCCTTATCATGAAATAAAATTTCTTAAGGTCATTTGACACCAATGTATCTGTGTCAAAATGCCTTTCCTCGGAGTGTATTCCTTCTGTATCCTGGTTTGACTGCAGAGCAAGTATTCCCTTAGTTGTTGATGAACTCTGCAGCTATCAGGAGCTTATCAGGGGTTTGTACTGACTCAGCTAAGCAAAAAGAGGGAGGCCCTCAATGTGATGCATTGACACAGTAGCTGCATCAATGAGCTCAGGCATAAGAACAATTGTGAGGCTGGCTCAGGGCGATGCACGATTCCTTCTGCTGTGCACAGGGTCACTATGGGTTGGAGCTGACTCGATGGCACCTAACAACAACAGCAGGAAACATTTAATCCCAAGTATATAGGCAAGTAAAAGACTAGTTTAAATAAAAAAGCTGGGTTTAATTTAGGTTAAAAAAGCTTTACACACACACACACACACACACACACACACACACAAGCTTTACACATTTATCCTTTCCAGTCTTGAGAAATAAGCCTGTTACGGTATTGTTAACATAGTTCTCATTTTGTAATTAGTTGTGATTGGGTCTTTTCACAGCCTTCCTACTAACTCCAAAGAGCATTTATATACACACTGTTTTGTATGGTTGAACATTTTTCTTCATACAACTGGTAAAGCCTGTAAAACTTAAAAAAAACGTTTCCAATATGTTAATGCTTCCTGGTCAATTTGTTGCCTGCACCTCACAAAGGATAGGAAACAGACCTGCTTATGTAGGTTGGATGAGCAGAATAAACCCCGCACCGAAGATTTGGTCTATGCTGCCTGCAGTTCCTTCTGCATGGCAGATCTCAAGATTTTCAGTGATGCTTACCCTCCCCTGACCTGATCACGGAAGACAAAATGGGTGCATAAGCAAATGTGGTGAAGAAAGTGGATGGTGTGTGGCTATCAAAAGATAGAGCGTCTGGGGTCTTAAAGCCTTGATGTTGAACAAGCATCCAGCTAGCAGAGAAGCAACAAGCCCTCATGGAGGAAGCACTGCAGCCTGTGATCACAAGGCGTCATCGGGACCGGGTAACAGGCATCAGAAGACCTGCAAGAGATAAGAGCTCACAACACACGGAATCCAAGAACAGGATTGGGAGTAACGATATCAGAAAGGTAGGGGGAAGGTGGGGAGAGGAGGGGAGGAAGGAGGAACCGATTGAAATGATCAACACATAACTGTTCCCCCAAACACACACACTCCAGCGGGAAGAACAGCAGAAACCGCGGGGGAAGGGAAACACCAGTCAGTGTAAGATATGAAAATAATAATAATTTATAATTTATCAAGGGGTGACATGGGCGGGAGGGGGAGGGAAAAAAGAGGAGCTGATACCAAGGGCTCAAATGGAAAGTAAATATCTAGAAATAATGATGGCAACATATGTACAACTATGCTTGATCCAATTGATGTATGGATTATTATAAGAGCTGCAAGAGCCCCCAATAAAATGATCTTTTAATAAAGTTTTTTTCTCCAGCAAAACCAAAACCAAACATTTCTTAACGAACAGCAGAATGCTAGACATTGTTTTGAGCACAAATGAGCCGACACAGGAAGAGTTAGGTTTGTTTCCTTTCAGTATAATGAAAAAGAGGGGCCTTAAACTCGCAACAACAGATGTAATATTTTTCTGAGAAAATGTATGGTGTTTAAGGAACTTTGGGGAAATGAAGCAGCGATAAGAGTTAAACACTGGAATGTTTAAACAGGGCAATGAAAAGTATAGGTAGGAATATAAGAGGGATGAAATCAAGCCAGGCTTGAAATAAGGCAGCAGATTTCATATGCACCAGATATGCATGAAAGAATGAGGACCTGCTCTCGACTCCTCCTCGTGTGACAGGCAGCCGCATCTTCCTGTGCCGGTGTAGTCCCAGATGCATCCCAGGGACACAATGGTGAAGGTCACAGTAAACAGATTTGACTGCACTGGGATTCTAGTCAGCTCTGGCAAAGTGGCCATTGTTGCCACCAATGGGCCTGAACTACATGTTGCCTTCATTGACCTGAACTACATGGGCTACATGGTCCAGTTTGATTCCACCCATGGCAAGTTCAATGGCACAGTCAAGGCTGAGATCCCCAACTTCCAGGAGCAAGAGCTTACCAACATCACGTGGTGTGAAGCTGGTGCCGTGTATGCCGTAGAATCCACTGGTATCTTCGCAACCCTAAAGCTGGCTGGGGCTCACTTCAAGGGTGGTGCCAAAAGGGTGACCATCTCTGCCCTTTCTGCCGGTGCCCCCATGTTTGTGGTGGGCATGAACCACGAGAATGACAACTCCCTCAAGATTGTCAGCAGTGCCTCCTGCACCACCAACTGCTTGGCTTCCCTGACCAAGGTCATCCATGGGAACTCTGGCATTGTGGAGGGACTCATGACCACAGTTCACACCATCACTGCCACCCAAGACCATGGACGGCCCCTCTGGGATACTCTGGCATGATGGCCATGGGGCTGCCTTGCATCTACTGGCACTGCCCAGGCTGTGGGCAAGGTTATCCCGGAGCTGAATGGGAAACTCCCTGGCATGGCCTTCCGTGTCCCCACCCCCAATGTGTCCATCATGGATCTCACCTGCCATCTGGAGAAAGCTGCCAAGTACTATGGCATCAAGAAGGTGGTCAAGCAGGCATCCGATAGTCCCCTAAAGGGCATCCTGGGCTACACTGAAGACCAGGTTGTCTCCTGTGACTTCAACAGTGACCCCCACTCTTCCACCTTTGATGCTGCGGCTGGAATTGCCCTCGTCGACCACGTTGTCAAGCTCACTTCTTGGTATGACAATGAATTTGGCTACAGCAGCAGAGTGGTGGACCTCATGGTCCACATGGGCTCCAAGGAGTAAGACCCACACCGAACCATCAGCCCCAGCAACGCCATCAGAGGAAGAGTCAGGAAAGGCCCTCGGCTGCTGGGGCGTCTTTGCCCAACTCGATCCCCCGGCACACTGAGACGATCCCATCCTTTTGAGTTTCCTTCTAGACCCTTTGAAGAAAGGGAGAGGCTTAGAGAGCCCAACCTTGTCATGTGCCATCAACAAAGTCCACTGCACTCAGCCCCTCTCCCCACCTCACGCCCACCAAAAACAGAAGAAGATCTGAGTTTCTGCCCTATGGTGAACGTTCCTGTTAGAACTTTTGTTTAATGTCTGAAGTTAGAAAATTTGCCTGAGAACCTTTATTTGGTTCAGAGCTCAGCTTCATTCAGGAAAAAAAGAAAACAACTTTTTTTTTTCTCCTTCATGGAAATGTCTAGAATTAAAACTAAGGAAGAAAACTGGGGAGCCAAGGAGCCCTGGTGGAATAGCTGGTGACTCACTGGGCTACGAGCTGAAAAGTCAGCCGTCTGAGCCACCAGCCACTCCTCAGGAGAGAGATGAGACTTTCCGTTTCCGTAAAATTTGACAGGCGTGGAAACCCCGGGGGCAGTTCTGCTCCTTCCTCCAGTCTAGCGTCATTAAGTGTCAGAATCGACTTAATGGCGGTGAGGGGGAATCTGCTGCACAGATTATAGGTTGCGTCGTGAATAAGAGAAAGTCAGGGCTTCTACCACATGTACATACTCCTGGGGAGAAGCGCTGCTTTATTGTTGGTGATAAAGATCCAAATGACGTTTTGTAAACCTTATGAATTTGCCATACATACATGAATTTGCCTTTCTACAGCAGTTCAAACTTTCTTTGTAAGAGCAAAAAACATTTTAACATGTAAAAACCATGTGGTTTTTCTCAATTCAATAGGCCTTTTGATCTCTTGACTGCGGCTTCCACGTGCATTGATTATGGGTACAAGCAAGATGGAGTACTTGACAACTTCAGTCTTTCCCCCATTGATCATGACGTTATCGATTGGTCCACTTGTGAGGATTGGGGTCTTCTTTACATTGAGTTGTCATCCAGACTGAAGGCTGCCGTCCTTGATCTTGACCAGCAAGGGCTTCAAGTCCTCCTCGCTTTCAGCAAGCAAGGGGGTGTCAGCTGATACTGCAGGCTGTTAACAAGCCTTCCTCCCAGCCTGATGCCACGCTCTTCTTCATCGAATCCAGCTTCTCTGATCATTTGTTCAGCATGCAGATTGGATAAATCCCGTGCAAGGACACAACCTTGCCACCTACCTTTCATGATTTTCAACCATGCAGTATTCCCTTGTTCTGTTTGCACAACGGTCCCTTGACCCACATACAAGTTCCGCATGAGCACAACGACTTTGCTATGATCCACACAGAGAAATGCCCTGGCACAGTCAATGAAACACAAGTAACCATCTTTCTGGTAGTCTCTGCTTTCAGCCAAGCTCCATCTGACGTCAGCAATGATAGCCCTCGTTCCATGTACAAAGTTAATTTATGAATATTTTTATAATTGTCTCTGGTCAGAAGCATTTGAACTAAGCAGTATCTTTGAGGTCAGGACTGATTTCCGTGTACATAGTGAACAATTGAATTTATTCTTTGCCATTTGCAAAATTCCTGTCTTCTCTTGGTAGAATTCACCACTACCAACAACTGTATAAAAAGTGGTCAGGTTTTGGATTTTAAGAGAAGAATTTCTTCACGAAGGATCTGGAATTCAAATATAGAGGAGAGAATGTAGAGGTTCCACTCTGTCTTATAAAGAACTTGCAGGTCACCCCTTCCATCAATGATCACAAAATTTAAAACAACAACAACAACAACAACAACAAAACAACCCTTCTTTGGTCCATCAGAGAAATGGAGTCACAGGGCAAATCAGAACGCCAACCCATTGCCATTGAGGAAATTCTGACTTCGGTGTTACAGAGCAGAATGGCTCCATCGAGGGCTTAGCTGTATTCCGTACAGAAACAGATCACCAGGCCTTTCTTCTGCAGGCCTGCTGGGGAAGCTCAAACCACTAACCTGTAGAACCGGGGTCAAGCCCAAACCATTTGCACTCAGGGATCTCCGATCCTCTATCCCTGAACTGGAGAGGCAGGAAGACACAAACAATGAGCAGCAGAAACCCTCTGCGGAAACCAATACTAACAGGGACACTTGAACTATCATTAAAGAATTGCTGGAAACTCAATGTAGACTCCTTAGAGAATTAAAAAAAAATTAGGAATCCAAATCTTAGGTCTTGGCACAGGCCCCCCTTAGGTCTCAAAGTGACATCTTTGCTTTGATAACACTTTACAGAGGTGTTTTGCAACAAATCGGACCAATGCAGGATGTCATCTAATTTCTTTCTTTTTAACTTTTTGTTGGGATTTAGGTGGCAGTTCACAGGGCACATTATTTTTCCATTCAAAAATTCATACATGAATCTGGCTAGACCAGAGGATGTACACTGGCACAGATAGGGACTGGAAACACAGGGAATCCGAGACAGATGATCCCTTCTAGACCAGTGCTGAGTGGTGATACCGGGAGAGTGGAGGGAGGGTGGGTGCAAAGGGGAAACCAATTACAAGGATCTACATGTAACCTCCACCCTGGGGGATGGACAACAGAAAAGTGTGTGAAGGGAGACTTTGGACAGGGCAAGATATGACAAAATAATAATTTATAAACTATCAAGGGCTCATGAGGGAGGGGAGAGTAGGGAGGGAGGGGAAAATGATGAGCTGATACCAAGGGCTCAAGCAGAAAGCAAATGTTTTGAGAATGATGAAGGCAACAAATGTACAAATGTGCTCGACACAGTGAATGTATTTGTAATAAGAGTTGTACGAGCCCCCAGCAAAATGATTTTTAAAAAATTCATACACGATTTGTTTCATGACATGGATGCAATCCCCACAGTGGACCAGCACTCTTCACACCTCCTCCCCGCTCCCGCTTTCATTCATATTTCTTCCTTAGCTCTTCCTGCTTTTGCAGCTTTATCCCCGGGCAAATGCTGCCCTTCGGGTCTCCGAGGGGTGACTATTCTAAGAGGTGTGTGTGTACTTCCTGGTATTATTGTTCACCTGATAGGCCTGTCTATTGTTTGGCTGAAAGTTGACCTATGGAGGTAAGTTCAGTTCCAGACTTAACAGGTGTTGAAGGGCCATCGGTTTAGGGGTTTCCATCAATATAGATCAGATTCGTAAGTCTGGACCTTTCCACTTTGAGTTTTACTCCCCACTCGAGTCAGGATCTCCCACCGTGACCCATCTTTAGAACAGTTGCCAGTGGTCGTTGGGTCCCATCTGGTTGTCAGTCAGTTATTCTGGTCTCAGGGGTACTGAGGCTGGGGTTCACATGGTCTATTCGTCTTTTGGACTAATTGCTTCCAAGAGTCTTCACTTATCTTTGCTCTGGAGAGGAGAGACCAATAGTTGCCCTATAGATGGCCAATCACACGCTTTTAAGACCCCGTTACTACTCACTGAAGTGGAAGGTAGAATGTGGTCTTTGTGGATGGTGGTATGCCAATGGAACCAGATGGTCTCTGAGACTGTGTCCCCAGACCCAGTGACTCATTCCTTCAAGGCATGTAGTGATGGCTAAGCCATTTTCATAACTTTGCTGCCCGTAGGCTCCACTATATTTGTGGATATTTGCAGCCCATGTAAATACCTATGTAGAAATATCCTCTCTCAATTCTGTGTATGTTCATGGGTGTAGCCCCATGCACCTTCCCACACCTATTCAGCCGCTGTGACTGTCTATGCATATCATTATAGGGTTATTTTTACTGTCATTACTAGAAGGTGTGTTTAATAGTATTTATCTCTGTTGCCTTTAGTTCCTGTGCGCCTCTCAGTGTTGTCCTTTGCCTTAGCTGTATTGTGCAGAACTTACTGTGTAACCTTTTCCTTCAACCAAGTTAATACCTATCTACCCTCTAGTTAGTGATTTACCCTCCCTCCCTTCCAACCTTGGTAACCTTTAAAGAATGCTCTGCTTTCTTTCTTTTTAAAAACATTTATAATTCATTTTAATGCTACTCTCTTTTTTTAATTAAAACATTTTTTAATGCTATTTTCAAACACCCATTTACCGCCCAGATCTTGATACTCTCCTGAAAAAAACAGCGCAAGCATAATTAAGGATTCAAATGCAAATGAAGCCTGAGCTAAATGTTGTAAGTGTTAAAAAAGCAAGGATAAAATCAGTTGTTAAATGAGAAGTACACCCAATCTCAGTTTTAATTGGGGGATTGAATACTGACGTTTTGAAAACATGAAGCAGAGAAACAAGCTGCTTTTAGAAAGAACAGTTTGATTCTGTCACGGTTACTTTTACTCTTTGGAATACGGGGCACGGTGAGACCTGCGAGAGCTGGAACTTGATGGGACTACCTGGTTCTGTCTGGTCTCACAGGTTTTCTGCCTTTCATTGTGCAGTCTTACCACTTTTCTCTGCTAGTGGGAAACTTTCGAGTTTTTCTTTTTTCGGCTTCTGCCTAACCCAGTTCCGGCACGTGCAGGTTTTTACTGTACTTCTGATATAATTTCAGTCTTTTTACAGTATAGCTCAATAAAGTGTCCTCAACATTCCTAAATTCTGTTTCCCAAATCAAGCCATTACATAAAAGTATTTTCATATGGTACACGTTATTGAAGCATAGGCTTAAAATCAGTGGTACAAATCATATATTGCAGATGATCATATAACAAATTTTATGCTAGTACAGTAATCAGCCATACCTAAGAGGTAGCCTTCTTAATCAGTTTTATAGAAAATTAACAGTAGTTTTAATTGTCCTTGCTTTATTAGTTGTGGTACAAAAATGAAGGTTACTGCTCGTTAAAAGTCTAATGGAAGGAGAGGAATTGATGGCTCTTGGCTTGTGTGTGGTACAGGCCTACACCAAAACACCTGAAGCATTTTCTTAGGAAATTAATGATTCGCATGGTGTTCTCCTCCTACTTAACAATCCTCGTTTAAGGGATACCG